GGCTGGTCTTCCAGCAACAACCACGTCTGGTGGCACATGATGAGAGGAGGCAATGTGGACCCTCGGACCAATCCGTAAGAATAGCCAAGCGATCACAGTCCACCTGTTCAAAATCACCTCTGGGGCAATAGAGTATTTCTGGAGGTGTAATTAAAACAGAAAAGCTCCCACATATATACATATATATACACACACACCATAGTGATGCAATGCTGAATTCAAGCAAAGTGTATATTATGTTGTGCTGACGCGCATCATTCTGCTTGATTTTCTTTGGACCCAGGTGCAGATGGACGCAGACGATGATGCCATGTGGGGTTTAGATGGGCATGGAAGCATTTTGTGGCGCCCTGCAGGAGATGTGGGTAAGCACAGCCGATGGCTCCGATGCTTGGGTCTGTTTATCTTGTCCGTTTGCGTTTACACTGTTTACACTTTTTTTTTTTTTACAAACACATTTTCAACTTGTCAACTTGTTTAAAGCCTTCGGGCTTCAAGTCTGGTGGATCTTCGGGTCATAAAGTGAGGACGAAGCTGTAACCGGACCGTGCAACGAAGGACTAGATGGGCCAACTGGAGTTGAGCTTAAACTCATTGCTGCCGACAACGATGAGGCCGACCACAAAGCCACGACCAGCGACAAGCCGTTTTTTCCTTGTTTGTTCTAACTCGTATCTCCGAGTTCTTTGCTGCTGGGTTTGAGTGTAAGTTTGCATCTACGCTGGCGAACCTGCGTTGCTTGCAGCTAAGCATTAAACCTCAGAAAGTAGAGGTACGTAACGATGCAATTCGCTAAGCCGCTAAGGTTCATTCTCATTTTCTGGGGCGGTTGCATTACGTGTCATAAGCCCAACCTCAAGTAATGAACTATATATGTACGGTGAATCTCTTGTTTTCTCAAATGTTTGGACACCTCCAAAGTCCGTTTCGTATTTGCTGACAAGGGAAAGTGTTGTCAGTTGCAAATGTGACTCACTACCATGGTCGATTGTGCCTGCTCTTTCCTAAAGCATGTCAACTAAAAGCTGCCTGAAAGTCTCCCTTTTGTGTCACCTGTGGCACCTCCTGCACCTGCTGCCTTTTGAATTTTCGTTTTTGGGACTCCGATGAACAGTGAGTATTTCAATGATGATCGATCCGAAATGTTGTTTGCATCCTAAGACGTACTTATTTGTTCTTTGTGCAATTGGATACCATTTGTGTTCTTTACTTAAACATTATGCTGATGCATGGAATTGATATGTTTTCCGCCTCCATCTGAGTTGTGAGTACTAGTAGCAGCATGACCAGCTAGACTAGACTTCTTTTCATTGTTCTATGTAGTTGGCCACATAAGATGGTGTCACCGTGCATTACGAGATTTGCTTTGATGCGTATGATGGGTTGTTGAGATCAGCATGCTCCCAATCAGGCAGGATCCTGGCTTTGGTGCATTGACAAAGATGATCGTCTTTGGCGGCGTGAACCTGGCGATTACCAAACCTCCAAGAATTTATGGGCTGAAAAAGATGCTTCCCTGCACTTAAAAAGACTTAGTGACTTGATCAACTCTTTTCTATTTCTTTTAACATGTTGTTTGACGTTTTTGACGGAGGTGGCCCAGGCACATTTGGCCGCAGACTCAAGTCATACCATGGCATGTTTCATTACTCTGAATTCGATCATTTGTGGCTAGATGCGAGGTGGGTTGACTTCGATATATTTTATTTGATCATTATTGAAAAGGCCGAACAACATTTAAAGATTTGTTGATTTAATTACATTTCATTGGAATAAAAAATTAGGTTATCGGGGAAAATGATTCTACTAAATTTGTGCCGTTGAATTTGCGATGTTTTGGTGCAGAAATATATTATGTATTATCGTGAACCACAACCACTACCAGTACCACAACCACAATCACAAACACACAGCCACAAACACACAATGTCAAACACAACCACAACCACAACACAGCACACAACCACAACCACAACACACAGCCACAGCACACTGCCCGAAGACCCACAAGCAAAATCGAGAACTACAATACTCACGACCATGGCAACATGCTCCTCACTATGGCATCAAGACAAATGATTGAAATGTCATGGTGGGGATCACTCGAAGTAAAGTAATTTTTGATTGATGCGGTGACGTGATGTTATTCTTGGTGTTAACTAATGCTTTAAGAATTTGGGGTTGGTTTAGGTTGCTTGAAAATTCATTTGGTTGCGATTGTTATTCGATTTGTCAGCACAGTTTTTCTTTAGCAGGGATAGTTTTTGACAATGGAACCGAATGGTCCTACTTAACCAATCTCGCCAAAAGAAAAGCTGACAGTATTTGAGTTGCGGCACGAACATCAAACAACCATAGACACCATTGTTTATGCTGCCTCTCTGCATACACACGTACGCTTTGGCTCAGGATTATCACGGCCTTCCTTTTTGGCAGAAAACAAATGGCTCAGTGCTGAAAGATTTGAAAGCAGACTTAGGCACGATGTGGCGGATATGGGAACAGAAGTGTTCTAAGCATCCTAGTGATTACTTGTGATCTCAGTTTGGGGTACATCTCAATTTTCTATACAACGCTACTAGGAGCAAAGGGCATCGCTACTAGGAGCAAGGACGCTACTAGGAGCAATAGTTGCCGCGGTCAGCGCATGCTCATACCCAATTTGCAGGCTGGGCTTTGGCAATAGATGATCGTGGGAATTTGCTGCGTCGGCGCATCAATGGGACGTGCTGTCGCTTTCCAGCAAGCTTGGAGGTGTCGAACAAAGCTCCTAGTAGCGTTCTTGTTCCTAGTAGTAAGGCCAGGAGCCCCTAGTAACCCTAGTAGTGTCCTTGCTCCTTGTAGCGATGCCCTTTGCTCCTAGTAGCGTCCTCCTAGTAGTTGTCTCAATTTATGTGGGATAAGATGAGCGCCCAGTTGAAACTGTGCACATGTGACCGGTCATGCCTCGCTGTTTCTGCGTTAGTTGTCAAACGTTTGATCAATCCGAATCCTATATACTGTCTCAATGTGCAGGTGCTCAACATCCATTGAGTGTGATAGACTCTGATAGACCTTGCAGGGTGATTTTCCAAAGGCCTCTACAAGCATTTCTCCCGGTGCAGGGGCAGTTGTTTCAACAGTCGCCCGTGACGCGAGGCCTCTTCAGACTAAATCTGTTTGTTCGATTTTTTTGTGTTGGAGACGAAAGCTCAACTCCCTTAACGTAGCTACAACTCCCCTTGCTTCACTTGCAAAGCTACCATTTATGACGTGACTGACCTATTTGAGGTCATGACCCAGTCTCTCCAGTGCATTGTTGGTGCACGGAAGTGGCCCCTCGCTTGGGGGGCGGTGGCGGACAATGGGGAGCAGCTTGGCAATTAGTATGAGCATAGGGAGTAGCCTAGCTGCCTAGCTCAGGGTTGGCGATAAGCTGTAGGCACATGTAAGTACTGTATCCATAATATAGAACTTTTTTTTGAGACTGACATCGTGCTATCAATATACAGTGGATGATATAAAATATATAACTATTGTGTATATATATATATAGTTTCAAACATACATGGTCAAACCACGATGTGGTATGTGGTACAGTATGCTTCTCTCCTGCCAATGTACGTTCCGCTCCAACAGCCGCCCAGTCACTGGCCGTGCACCATGACATATTGTGGCTCTCGGTGCTTACCCACCCCCAGGAAGGATTGCCTGAATGTCTTTCCCACATTCGAGAGGGCGATCTGAGCTTAGGCATGGTCTTGGATTTTACTTCCCATGGCTCCAACACAAGCATGGAGACACCTGGACAGCGAGTGCCTTGCAGACAAAGTAGAAGTCCTACTGACTGGAGTCCGGAGGAAAACGGCATGTGACCCAGGAGCCTCATACCATACCTCCCATCGGGTGTGTTGACACTGTGTGATCAATTACCAATGCAGCTTTTGTGGCCTTTTTTTGTTTCTTCTACATGCCTGGTCAAAGTATGTATTGCTGACAGCATGACATTGTCGCCCTAGTAAGGACCCATCATGACCCATGAATTCTGTGACTGAGGTGCCAATCGATGGCTGAAGCAGCTGACGACTCGAGATGACGGTCATAATGCCGCCTCGCCAAATGACACCGATCTGAAGTCTTTGTTGTGTTTGCTCATTTCGTTTCTACTTTGCCCAAGAGAGGCCCAAGTAAACGGTCCAAAGAAAGGGAACTGAGCATGACCCCGTCGTCCCCTTTAGACTGCACTCAGAACTGCAAGTGGTCGATTTCGATGTGATCCACAAGGGGGCAGATAATGACAGGCTGTTAGGGAAAGCTAACCACGATACACAGGCCTGGACTAAGTGAAGTTGTTGTGTATCTCGGCATGACCCCCCGCTTTCTGCAGCTGCCTTGGCTGCCAAGGAAGTCTCCCAGTATTACTCCGCTCATTGCACGGTGGATACTGACCATTGCGCTGCTTTGGACACCACAGTGGAAGATTTCCTCAAGTCTTGGCGGAGAGAAACTAGCAAAGCAACTTGTCTTCAGAAGTTCACAGAATGGACTTCCATCAATTAATGTTATTCTGTGATTGACCATCACCTGTCAGGAGTGGACCGTCTGGGACTGGGATTTGATGAAGCGAGCCTACAGCACCTGCACTCAGTCAACGCAAGTCTGCCAGAGACCCATGAAACACTACGGTGCCTTCCGAACTTTGGTCCGGACCTAGTCCAGCTTTTGCACATCTGAAGACATAAGCTCCAAGGCAGTGAGAGAATATGTCTCAAGGAATGGTTGTGGAGAATAATTCAGGACCCAGATTCTCTCCAAAGAGACTAGTCATGCCGGATTTAGGATGATTTAGGTGTCTTTTTGTTTTGTGTTGTCATAGTACATCCATGTAAGGAGAAAAATTCATGAGGCACACCTTTTGCTGTGCCCGACACCTGCAAACACCCCATGATCCTCTGTGTCTCAGCCAACTGTGCAAAGCGTATGACATCACATGCCCTGGATCGAAGCTGCTGACCTCTGACATGGACTGCACAGCACCCTGCCGGCTGCCATTGCCAATTTTCTCTTCTCTTTGTTTTCTTTTTTGGGCTTGGAGCCCCCAAAAAACAATGCAAAACAGAGAGTCTGAACGCCTGACCATTGAAGCGTATGCCGTATGCAAGGTTTATCACTCAGTAGACCCTGGGAGCTTGATCAAGAACATGACCATGCTGGCAACTCAGAAGCTGGAAAAGTACATGGGACATCCTGCTGATCTAGGCGCCGGCAACGGGTTTGAACATGCTGTGCTTCGCAGGTTTGAACATGCTGTGAACAAGGCTGACTGCCCTGGCATAGTTAGGGCTTTTTTGTTGGGTTTGGTACGTTTTCGCACGTATGTGCGGTGGGCTCTAGCTTTGCGGGGACGGGGATACATGGGAGGTGGGTTGATCCAATTGTGATTGTCGAGTCCAGTGGTTTGTGTTGTCCATTTCAGAAAGAGCTGGCCTTTGGAAGCAAAGCGGCCAGTAGAGAGATCATGCCCTGAAAAAAAAAACCACTGACTTGCATGAGACGTTTTGTTAACAATTTGAAACAGGGACAAGACAAGCCCTTATGCTCCTTCTTTCCAAGATCGCGTCTAGCTTTTGTGGGAGCTGAGTCGGAAATAGCACTGGACACGCTAGACCGACTTTGGGATATGATATGCAGTCATTTGGCTGTTTTCCAGTGTCTTACCCTTGAAGAGTTATCATTTTGGCATCACAGACGGACAATGAGTTGGCCAGAGGCGTCGTCTTCGATCTCAGCTTGTACGGCACGTGGACCTGGATTCCAGATGAGATCTTCCAGAGGTTCAATTGGCCACAGAGCACCAAGAACCTTTTTGAGTTCGTGGAAGGGAAGTCTGGTGCGGCAGTGGCTTGTCGAAGGGTCCCGAAATCTGTCCGGATTACGGTATTCTAATAGCTTCTTGTTACTACTAGTAAGGCACCGGTTACTACTAGCGAGGCATTTGTTTCTAATAGCTTCTTGTTACTACGGTAGAGCAAGAGAGGTGAACAGAATATGACCATCCATGACCTGTCCTCAACCATCATTATATTTTTGTCTTTGGGCACTGAGGACCTAGGACCTTCGCATCCGTGCTTTTGATCCTTTGTATTAAAAGCGTCCATGATGGAAGGCTGTTTTCAAGTATGCCCAAGTCCCAGAGTGGGCCGACTTCCATGAATAATCACTTTTGAAGTACTTGGGAGCTTTGAGCAAGTTGAGGAACAAGCTCAAGCCGTGTCGAAGAGACTCAAACGGCCGTATGTTTAAGGTTTGTGAGTTCCATACATTTCGAATGAATTTGAATATCTTCTAGGTTGATGTACCTTGTTGAGCAACAAACCTTTGTCGCTTGTTTGGTTATGAACCTGGACCTTTACTGAAGGGATCCTGGAATCAAATCATTCATAAACAAGTTCTTCGCAAGATACGCGTGCGTCGACCAGCAAGAAATGCTCCCTCTCCATGGATAGTAGTTGCATGCTACAATGCTTTTGTCACTAGCAAACAGAACACCTAATAGATCATAATAGACCCTGAAGCATGAAGCGGTGCCTAAATATTGACGTAAACCAAGGTATAATATGGGATGGGACACCTTTGCCCAGTCGTAGCGTTGAGGGTATCAAGCAAGAAACAGTAATGCCATGATATTGAGTCCAAGACTGAAGTCACATTGCCATTCACATTGTTTCAAATTCTGGTCCAGCCAGGTTTGGGTCTTCCGCCGAAAATGCCGTCCAACCTCGCGACAAGCGATCTACGAGAAAGTGAAGCGGATCATTCGCGATGGAAGTGACGTCCACACCGCGGACCTAGAGAATTTGACCATCGCTCTGAAGTCTTTTGCTCTTTGTCTAAAATCCTTAATACTAGGAGCAAGGACGCTACTAGGGGCTCCTGGCATCGCTACTAGGAACAAGAACGATACTAGGGGCTCCTGGCCTTACAACTACGAGCAAGGACGCTACTAGGATGGAAATCCCGACGGTTTTTGGGAACAGCGACTGAGTGCTACAAACCAGCCGGACCTCATGCGAAAGCATAGGGAAAAGAACATCTATCGGCATTCTTACAGGTCGACCATTTTTGCGGCTCGCCACCTGGAGTTTGCTACTATACTATCATCATGCCTAGATGTTCTTCCAAGTTCCACAGTGGCAAGCAATTGGGAACAATGAGTAGTCATTCAACTTGAGTGTGGCATGCATTCTACAGGGCGAACACTTCTTCTTTAATCATTTTTGTTCGTTTTGTGATTCCCTTGAAACTCTGCCTTGTAATCCACTTCAAAGGCTGTGTCCTCAGCTGATGGCCAGGTTGGCAATTTAGCCAATGGAAGTTATGGCTCAGGAGCCGGGGTAGGGTAGACGCAGGTGGCAAGTAATGACAATGAAGAACAAACAGGGTCATTTGTACAGGTGTACTTTCTACAGTTCTTCGGGTTGAGTTCTTTTGTTCAGGCAAGACACTTTGGGTGGGATTGAAATGGTGGCCTCCTGACCAGGAGCTTCCCTGAGAGATTGGGACAAGTTATACCAAGATTTTCATGCCGTGTCCAGCGTCCAGCGGGAAGGCCAGGTTCCGAGTTTAAGATTCACAGCTGTACTCTGATCACATTGGCTTAGACACTTTTCTTTTCCCAGCTATATTGGTTGAAGTCCAATCGCGTGTTTGCACATGTTTTTTTTCTTGCGCGCTTAAGTAATGCATCCCTGGAGTCTTTTTGAGCCAAGTTCATGAGGGCTTATGCTTATCCTGCGGACTGTGCTGGGAGATTAGTTTCAAGCACGCAGGCTATCTTACATATGCTGCTACCCTGGAGATTGTCGGCAGGCACTGTTCTTATGAATGTTTCTTTGTCTCACCGTGAACAAACAGATAACACATGTTATATAGTTAGTGCTACAAACAGAAATGATTGCCATTTCATTTGTGTAATGATTTGTTGAACCAGATTTGTGCTTACAACATCAAGAAACTCAACAGACAGGTTTTCAGTCAGCAGCGTGTGGTACCAGCCGATGCTGGAAGACCAGCAAAAAGTAAGCGAAAGATCAGGGATGCGTTGACAAGCACAAAGAAACGCTTCATCCAGTCTAGATGTTCAAACATGCCCAAGAGATGTCACTCAGTCTACATCAAAAACAAAGAAAAGCAGTTATTCCCGCATGCCACATGTCCAGCATTTTGTTTTGGACCGATTTGGAGGGCGAACCTTCACATTTGATCCTACATGCAAGCGCACAAAGGTGCGCAAAAAAGTCCTCAATTGGTGCACAGGAAGACCCTCTCGGGAGACCCTCTCCTGACCTGACGAGGCAACAGGTGGGGCTTCCGACCACATTCGCGGAAGATTATCAGTGCATGCGACAGGCGAAGCCAGGGGAATGTGTCGACTGGCCCTGTGGATGTCCATGAAATGTATTGATATGTAATATATACTATTTGTTCTTCCTTCCTTCTGTACAATTCAGCCTCATCATACGCTGACTGCACAAGCAAGGCTACTAGACATTATTGTGGATAATTGTGGATATATAAAGATATAAGTAGTCCGTGACTGCGTGATGCATCTTTAGCATGGCTACATTAAAGATTCCTGTTTCGCTGCAGGTCACTTTCGTATACACACTTCAAAACATATGTGGACGTGATGCACCACAAAAGGTGAACTATACCGGGCAGGACTCAATTACAAGCTAATTCATCCAGCTCCAAGCGGTGCCTTGACAGGTCAGCTTTCTAGAGCAGTTGGCCTTTATTGCGCAGCATATACACGATGATGTGCCTGCGACAATCTCCGAAAGTACCTGGAGGAAGCTCGATCAAAGATGATCAAAGTATTTGGCCAGGAGACGATCAAAGTATGTTGATGTTTGAGGGCTGATTAGCCTAGCCTAGCAGCTTTCTAGGGGTTGAGAGATCGAATGTGCCATTTGACCAATGGTGCTTTCGTGAGGGCTTGGGGCCTAAGGGGTTTCTGAGTTGAAGAATAAGAAGAGTTGCAAAGGTTAGTGCGGAACATATGATGTCAGTTGAAAGGTTCCACCGACATCAGGCGAGACATCCTGCTGATGCTCTTGAAATCTGGCAAGTACTTTGACCGCCTTCTTGAGGTGGATGGACCCGGCTCCTTGGACAATCCTGGCCTGCGGTATCCTATGGCCTTAGTTGGCCTAGTTTTGGAAGCAGCTGCGTGCATGTTTTTTTGTAGAGGCAAGGGAGGGTGATGGAATAGACTCAAACATCATTACCTTGTGGGAACTAGACAGGCCCCCCAAGAATAGGGTCACTTGGTTGATGCAGTGGCTCAGAGGTAACATTGAAGCAGAGGCTCAGAGGTAACATTGAATCAATGAGAGTCGTCCAAACAAGGTGTTGTGCTAAAAATGTAAAACAATGTAAACACCTAGAATGACATTTGAAATCATCTGAACTTTTGGACAGGTTGGCGATTGTTTGCTTTACTAAAGTGGCTACCCAGCAGAGAGCAGAAAAGTATATAGATTAACATATATATATATTTTTAAGAATCTAACACGAGCATGAACGAAATGATCCATGATTGAGCTTTGCACTTTACAACTTTACAACACCCGCCCATAGTCAGTCACATATGTAGTGATGCTGGAGATTCGATGCCCCATCCATCCACAAGCGGAAATTAATACATATACATACACACAGTTTTCTTTCTCTAGATCGCCTCCCGTGGATATTTGAGGAAAGGAGGCGATTCCCTCCCAAAGGAGGTCGTTCCCTTGAGACTAGTCATAAGACGTCAGAAGTATCTTGCAAAGTCGAGCGAACAAAGAGAATCATACTTTTGCACCTACTGGGTGCTCTGGTTAACTTGTCTCGAATGGCATGAACTTGTGCCAGATGAGGTGTGCCCTTGGGGGAAAGCTTGATTGGGCTAAGTTTTTGTATGTATGTTGTTGTTGATCACAGGTTGAGAATTTGACCAAACCGCAAGGGCACACTGTTGATTCTGTCTCAAGTTTATTGTACTCCCAAGTGCGCCGTTGCGATTTCATGTTCTTGGCTTCACTACACAAGCGTTGCGAAACGGTGTCCCCAAGCAGTTTTGTGTCTAGGAGTGTAGACGATCATTGTTTGGTCATTTCATACTGTGTATTTGTTCTTTTTGGTGACTAGTGCTTGGAATACAACCAGCCTCAAGTTGCGCTTCCCAACCAATGTTGGGACAGAAAGGGGGCAGGTCTCATTTGCCTCGTGCACTTGTTTCTACATACTGGATGCCTGTGTTTACCCCTATCGTGATCAAGATCTCGTATGGAAGCCGGTGTGCCATTGCGGGGAGCAATCAAAGCAGTGCAAACTAGAAGAGATGAGCAACATACTTCTCCATCTTATTGATGCCAGATCTGCGTGGCACACTGGCTTTTTCGCGTTCACACTGCAATGTCTGTGAAACCAGTATACCATTGGGGTGAGCTACCGAATAGCTATGAAATTGAACTTGTTTCTAACGGTTTCTTTTGTCAACCCATAGTTGAAGCCTTTTCGAGAAGGCCCCATCTCCATCAAAGCGGATGAGCGAGGAGCAGTCTGATTAGTGGTTTTGAGAAGTCGTTGCGAAGCGTGTCCCCACACAGTTGCGTGTCTAGGGGTGGAGGCGTTTGTTGTTTGGTAATCTATGGTAATCAATATATGTCGGGCTTGCTGCTGTTGGTTTGCTGCTGGTTGGCTGCTACTGCTACTGGTTCGCTGCTGCTGCAGGTCTGCTGCTGGTTTTCTGCTGCTGCTGCCTTGCTGCTGCTGGTTGGCTACTGCTGCTGCTGGCGGTTGGCTGCTGTTGGTTTGCTGCTGGTTGGCTGCTGCCGCTGCTGCTGCTGCTGCTGCTGGCTGATTGCTGCCGGTGCTGCTGCTTGCTGCTTCGCTGTTGC